GATGTAGTTTTCAAACTGTTTGCACCGATTGGTGATGCTACTGAGGACATAGTGTGGAAGGATGGCGTGCGCATCACTTTGATGTCCTGTACAGCACGTACTTTGTCCAAGCGCTTAAATATGGCTTGTGATATTTCAGTTTTCAAAGATGAGATTGATATATTACCGTTCTGATCCATACTGTTGTTTTACAAGTTGGGTCAAGCAGGAATTTATTAGCTACAACCATAACACAACCACTACGTTTCAATAGCATGGTGCTTGGTGCTTCTTTGCACCTTGTAATTCGGTATAGTTTTGAATTATTGACCGAGTACAATTCCAGGCATACAGGCATACAGGCATACAGGCACACCGATGGGGCAGGATACGCCCACCTTTCCGCAAACACCTGGTATCACTATTTTATAATGATTAATAAACACATGCTTATGATATAGTTTGAATCGTAATATGGAGATTTCTCATTATTATCGAAATAGTATCTGTTTCTTTTATTCCAATGGAGCCGATTTATGGGTATAACTATCACCGCCAGACACACAGTTGAGGCGCTAGTAAAATATCCCCTTCTGTACAGATTCGGTCAAGGTATGAGTTGCTGTTGTGCCTTACAGACACCGCCGATAATATACTGATACGGCATACCTGTCGCCACTATGCCTTGTCACTGACACTAGCAAAGTGAAACAATCCAACAGTTTGTAGCAATCACTAACAAGGTTCGCAAAATAGCAATAGCTGCCTTCTCTGATCACCAGATAGGTATACCGCAAAACATGTCAATGTCTTAGAACCCGAATACATTATGGTTTATGAAGTAACAGCATGTAATGATTTAACTTTAAAGTTATAACAAATTAGACAAGTGCGTGATTTCTGGAACCGACAAGCATTCCTCAAGGAGAATATTCTTTCATTTTTGTTGAATAAACCTGTTTTGTCCATTTTGGTCACGTTTCGCCAGCGTTGTGGTCGATACGCTAGGGGCAATAAATACATCTCTCGGCAATCGGTTTGGTCGTAAAAAATAATGCAACCTGTGATTCAATTCGGCTCAGTAAACATATTCATGGCAGATAAAGCACCTGTAGCTCAACTGGTGTTAACGAGTGGATATATTGTGAATACAGACAGAACGATACTTCGGAATCTTATGGAGACCCGGAATGAAAATGTATGAAACATTGGAATATAGTGTAACCAGTCACCGCTTCAGAGAAGGGGAACCTCCGCACACATTGGTTCTCGGGAGACGTTCTTTGGTTCAGATTTAGTATTTCTGTATGAACCGCGCCAAACAGCTGGCACCATGACCGGCTTGAATTGGCGCGGCCTGCTGATGAGCGCTGACAGATGAGACATTGTATCCCGCTCCCACAATGTGTTTATAGGATCTATCAATGAGTAAATGCATCAGTTCTACATGATAGGATTTACATACATGGTCTGGTGTGAAGACAGTCTGAGGAATCCCGGGGGCGCTTTGATTACCGCCATCACCACACCGTGCCGCCCCGGTCACGCTAGATGAGATTCAGGCAAATTGACCAAAGGAATGCTTCTCCTGATGTCGATTGGCAAATTCTGTTAGTCTCTATTGTGCTTTTCCCCAGGGAAGACAATCAATGCACCTTTTAGATAAAAAAAACCCACATAATAATTGAAGCCTTTGTGGGGTTTACTTTGGTCACTGAGTCGAATGTTGTTTTGTATAGTGGGCTGCGAAGCAGTCCCACCCACCACCCGACACCTCACCACATATAGATGCAAAGACCCGTTGTTACTCTTATACTAGAGCACCGGTGGTGGAGACGTAGCTGTCATCTCTCATGCTTGCGTTGGCCTTCAAAAGCGCCGTTCTACTTATCTTTGAATTGTTATCCTCTCGACTTTCCAAATCGTTTACCTGTTAATGCATAGGGTATTTCTTCACCTCTCCAGGTAGCAACGGTGGCCGATGCAGATAACGTTACTGGTGAGGTTTACACGGGACATGGGGTTTAACGTCTTGTTTTAGATTATTTGACTTACATAACGTGCGTGCGTGCGTGCGTGCGTGCGTGCGTGCGTGTGTGCGTTCGTGCGTTTTACTCGTTCGGACAAGTGCTGGTTTTATAGTCTAGCCTGTTTAGGATTGTTGCACTTGCACCTCTTGTTTCTTCACTACACAAACGGGAGCAGGACCAGTGACAACCCTGTCCATGACACGGAAATTGAAATTGATAAGAAGGTGCCCATGGGAATATTTATTTGAGTTACACTGCGGTGAGTTGCTACTGTTCCCTGGAGACATGCGTGTAACATTTCCATTCGATGAGTGAATAATGACACATTGATGTTGTCCCCCTTTCGAACCGAACTTAATGACTGAAATATCATCAATGTTAAACAATTCCAATTATATCCTGTGTTAACCATTGTGCAGCAGTAATTATTATTTTACTATCATGTCTGATCCATATGGGCCGAAAGTAAACGAGCTATAAACAGCGTGTGGCACATTCACTAATGGCTCTTGTTCGGGAAGTAGAACATTTGTGACACGCCTTTCGTAAAATCAGTCTGATGCACTAACTAATAATTATAATGCTTTCTATGTATAACGTATACACTAACTGAAGGGAAGATTGATGTCGGTTACATACAATGTGTCATCATAAGTTAAATTGCCTTGTGTTGTATATACAAGTTGCAGATATGACACGCTGGGTGCAAATGTATCTCCTGCGATATTTCGGAGCTGGTGGCACGGGTAACCTATTAGTCTCAGGCGCCGCAATTTTCGTGTAACATTTCCATTCGATGAGTGAATAATGACACATTGGCGTTGTCCCCCTTTCGAACCGAACTTAATGACTGAAATATCATCAATATTAAACAATTCCAATTATATCCTGTGTTTAATATTGTGCAGCAGTAATTTTATAATTTTGATATCATGTCTGATCCATATGGGCCGAAAGTAAACGAGCTATAAACAGCGTGTGGCACATTCACTAATGGCTCTTGTTCGAGAAGTAGAACATGATATGACACGCTGGGTGGAAATGTATCTCCTGCGATATTTCGGAGCTGGTGGCACGGGTAACCTATTAGCCTCAGGCGCCGCAATTTGCTATGTCCCTTGGGCAGTGAGAAACCTATGAACGTGGGTTCGAATTCCGGTTCGATTATGTTTCTAGGTTTGTAAGCGCCATACCCGTGCTCGGCGTTAAACTAACTCTCTCATTTCTGAGCTGAGGCCTGTTCATGATAGAATCTTCCGGACAGCATGTGAGTAATGACAGCATGTGGGTAGTGACAGCATACGGGTAATGACAGCATGTGGGTAGTGACAGCATGTGGGTAGTGACAGCATGTGGGTAATGACAGTATGTGGGTAGTGACAGCATGTGGGTAGTGACGGCATGTGGGTAGTGACAGCATGTGGGTGATGATAGCAGGTGTGTAGTGACAGCATGTGGGTAATGACAGCATGTTGGTAGTGATAGCATGTGGGTAATGACGTGGGTAATAACAGCATGTGGGTAATGACGGAATGTGGGTAATGACAGCATGTGGGTAATGACATGGGTAATGACAGCATGTGGGTAATGACGTCGGTAGTGACAGCATGTGAGTAATGACAGCATGTGGGTAATGACAGCATGTGGGTAGTGACAGTATGTGGGTAATGACGTGGGTAATGTCAGCATGTGGGTAATGACAGCATGTGGGTAATGACAGCATGTGGGTAATGACAGCATATGGGTAGTGACAGCATGTGGGTAATGACGTGGGTAATGACAGCATGCGGGTAACCTATTAGCCTCAGGCGCCGCAATTTGCTATGTCCCTTGGGCAGTGAGAAACCTATGAACGTGGGTTCGAATTCCGGTTCGATTATGTGTCTAGGTTTGTAAGCGCCATACCTCGGCGTTAAACTAACTCTCTCATTTCTGAGCTGAGGCCTGTTCATGATAGAATCTTCCGGACAGCATGTGAGTAATGACAGCATGTGGGTAGTGACAGCATACGGGTAATGACAGCATGTGGGTAGTGACAGCATGTGGGTAGTGACAGCATGTGGGTAATGACAGTATGTGGGTAGTGACAGCATGTGGGTAGTGACGGCATGTGGGTAGTGACAGCATGTGGGTAGTGACAGCATGTGGGTAATGACAGTATGTGTGTAGTGACAGCATGTGGGTAATGACAGCATGTGGGTAGTGACATCATGTGGATAGTGACATCATGTGGGTAGTGACAGCATGTGGGTAATAACAGAATGTGGGTAATGACAGCATGTGGGTAGTGATAGCATGTGGGTAATTACAGCATATGGGTAATGACAGAATGTGGGTAATGACAGCATGTTGGTAATGACGGCATGTGGGTAATGACGTGGGTAATGACAGCATGTGGGTAATGACGTCGGTAGTGACAGCATGTGAGTAATGACAGCATGTGGGTAATGACAGCATGTGGGTAATGACAGCATGTGGGTAATGACGTGGGTAATGTCAGCATGTGGGTAATGACAGCATGTGGGTAATGACAGCATGTAGGTAGTGACAGCATGTGGGTAATGACAGTATGTGGGTAGTGACAGCATGTTGGTAATGACGTGGGTAATGACAGCATGTGGGTAATGACAGCATGTGGGTAATGACAGCATGTGGGTAGTGACAGTAATGACAGCATGTGGGTAGTGACAGCATGTGGGTAGTGACAGCATGTGGGTAGTGACAGCATGTGGGTGATGACAGCATGTGGGTAGTGACAGCATGTGGGTAGTGACAGCATGTGGGTGATGACAGCATGTGGGTAATGACAGTATGTGGGTAGTGACAGCATGTGGGTAATGACGTGGGTTATGACAGCATGTGGGTAATGACAGCATGTGGGTAATGACGTGGGTAGTGACAGCATGTGGGTAATGACAGCATGTGGGTAATGACAATATGTGGGTTATGACATCATCATGAAAGACCAAGATAAACAACATGAGACAAATATATTACGAAATTAGTTTAATACAAAATGCTGTACAAATCTCAGTTCAGATACACCTTTGAGTCAGGAAACATTCACCAGTATTGTACAAGATGTGATTGCAGAAAGTAATGTCAGGCATCCCACATTTTCACTTTCAGGATGGTGGAAATGGAAACAGTAAGCATCCTAGTACATGTATGAGCGTCAATGAACGACCTGTCTGCCCTACATTTGTACCCAAGAATGTCTTACTTTCGCCACATGTTGACAATAACTACACACACTCTAAGTCTGGATCACCTTGAAAGTATATTTTTGTGTCGTCGTACTCTCCCTTTATGTATTAATACAAAATCACAGTGTTCTGGTAGCAAAGCTGTATATACTACTCAAGAGAAGTTAAGGATCCCCGATTCCTTCATATAACTATAGTTAGTCTGTCATGTGATGAAACTGTATATTAATAATAATACATGCCATCTGCCATGACAGATTAACTATAGTAATAACAAAGCATCGGGTGGTCCTTAAACTCGTTTTAGTATTATGAACCACTGTGAATGTTTGGAAAACCAGTGCCGAAATGGGGAAAGTTCCACCATATTATGTCATTACAGCATGTGTGAAACGTGAGTGTGTCCCTTCCCGTCTTTTATAGTGTCCCATTAGGACAAAAAGTTATACCACGTGTTAAACTACTCACTGCGTTAATTGCCCTATATTTTCCAGCTTCTCCAGGAAGTGCTATTATTCAGAAAAACGTATTTGTCCAAATGTCTTCTGTACGCTCTGTGACTAAGTAGCCAAATAAACAGGAATCAGTACTGCCAGCGGCTTGATTGTTCGGGTAACCACATTATGGGGAATGAGGTCGCAGCGCGGCAGTAATGATCATAGCACGGATTTCAGCGAAAATTCAAATTTTGGTGATTGCGGCAAATGGAACGGGGACGTCGTTAAGAAACACGCTGCAAATGAGGACAAAGCAAATTTTCAACGAGTACTGATAATCCTTGAGATGACAATTGCACCGTAGTTAAAGAAAGGTCACGAGGGCTCAAGATGGAATGAGACAAGAAACTGATTTGTCTGTCAGCGACGGGAAGCATTTACAGAGGGGTGGTGCGATTTGGCATTTCTTATCACAACATGTGGACATGGTGTGGACGAGCTGTTGCAACGCACAACCCTCAAAGCCAGGGAGCATACATGAAAGCTGGAAACCTTTCAGAGTTAGGGTGATAGCTTGCCGGTAACAAGGCTTCGTCCGTGGCAGCAGCATGGCTGTATTATACGGCTTATTAGTAGGAGTCATGACGACAGAAAACCGTGGACGGTGGGGCGTTGTATGGCCACCTGATTAAGGGAAATGTGGGCAACCCTTCATGTCTTCTTTGGATGCCATTGGTCATTATTGTCTATTTCAGTCTATCCATTAATCCCACACGCAGTAAATAACAAGTTAGTCGTCTATAGATGTGACTCCCCTGAGTGTCATCCCGTCAAAGACAAAGACTTGTATGGCGGCGGTCTGGACCAGACAATGCAGTGACTGACATCATTAGCATCGATCTACACAATTGGGATACGATGACATTCATCAACCAAGTCAGTGAGCCTGGCCATCCGATCCCGTTAGTCGTCTCTTACGATAATTATAGGTTGATGAAGACCGATTATAACCTGGATCTTCACGGGGGAAGACAAGCATGGGTTGTTGAAGACCGGTTCTAATCTGGATCTTCACGGGGTTAGACAAGCATAGGTGGGTTGTTGAAGATCAATTCTAAGCCGGATCTTCACGGGGGGAGACAAGTATGGGTTGTTAGACCATTTCCAACCCGGAATTTCAAGCTGTCTGAGACAGATGATTTCACACACTGGCGAGGATGCCTGTTTCGGTGTTTTCAGCCTTTACTGTGCGGATGCTATCCCGTATATGTTACCTATGGTGCAGACCCATGTTCGACATTCAGATAGATGTGTCGACATGCAGCTGTATAACTACTAACACCTGGAAACATGTGTGGTATCACAGAATATTTCTCATGTTGCTCAGCTTTCAGAAGATAAAAAGAGTGAAAATCGAATAAATCATTGTTTTCAATGAGAAAACTTTCGTATTAGAACGTTAGAACAGGGTCGTGAAAGCTAGGGGAATTTAATTGTTCTAGGCCCCGTTCCTCAAAGCGATCTAAGCGCTACGATGATTGTAAGCCTATGTTAAAGTATGGGACTTACGATCACCTTAGCGCTAAGATCGCTTTGAGGAACGGGGCCCTGGAGTACGAAATGTACGAAAAGGGACAAAGTTTGATACAGGCAACTATTGGACTACATGATCGGTAATAATAAAAATTTAGCAAAGCCTCTACAAATCTGTATAGCTATCAGATGTATTCATTCCAAAGAAAATGAAACTTCTATTGAGTACCACTTCCATGTTGTGTTTACTTATTTAAACACATTTATAGGTGATGCTAAAATGTATCGGAAGGGCTAATTTCAGAGGTTTTCAGGAATTGGTTTTCTAATATTTTGGACATGAGCAAAACCTTGTACAGAATCGTGTAAGAAAGACATAAGCTATGAGTCCGCCACTGACAGTCTCATAATTTCCATACTCATTTTTCAAAGTTTCTTACATTTGACATTTCCAATGGGCAAAACGGGCCCTTTTCCTACTTCGCTATTTGAAACACTTTGAAACCACATTGATATGTAGGATGCAACAGGATGCAAGCCACTACATAACATGCACACTGAATGGATCAGTTCTAGATGAGTGTCGACACCATCTGCCATGTGTAGCTTCAGATTCTTTAATCCAGTGGTTGTAGAAAATTAAAACGTTTACGTGGTGAAAATGAGACCAACAACAAGCATATATAGATACATAGAAATGGCAGATGTATGTTCAGACCAGCTTCATACAAAACTTAGTAAAGATCTCTTCAAAAACTGCGATGTAACAGTCCAAATTATTGTATAAAAATGACTACGCTGCTACAACGAAAGCACGAGGATGATGCTAACTCCAATATTTTAACATAGACTTACGATGAACATAATTTGCACATAAATATATAAACATATCGATGACCCAAAACGCCCTTCTCAACATGGCTTCCGTGGCGGCCATGTTGGAGATCGGAATCCCAACCAATGGGGATATCTTACTCATAAAGATTCAGATACATACGTCTATTGTATTCTATTTATTTCGTTATATATATGCAACAGGCTTTATTGGACATTTGCAAGTTAAGCCATATAAGTTTTAATTACAAAGAGAGTTTGTTACAAACGGCTTACCTTACCATAGAAGAGAAACTTAGTGATACACATATTTTTTATTGGATGACAATAATTGATTAACAATGTTCATCCTGGGACTTGAATATATTAGTGAGATACATCTTTCTTATATGATGATAAGCTGGACATACCAACAAAATATTAAACTGATGACACAAGTATGACAAGCTTACATTTTCTTTGCTTGCGAGGTACACTTAATTCTAAGTTCTAATTCTCAATTTTTGGATCTGCATCGAAATCTAACAAGTTATATCGTTTATGTGTTTAGTAGTAATTCGTCTTAAATAATCCTCATAGTTTATAAACTATTTTAACTGCAGGGAAACTGGTGTGCTAAATGAATCATCTTGAAACTTGACCTTTTTATGTTGTATAACCATCTTCCCGAGGCAAGGGCGTTAACTAACTATAAAAGTCAGTTAACTCCCCTTGCCTCTGGAAGATGTTGTATAACTGGATGTAGAAACAACTTGGTTATAACTGATGACTCTAGAAATGACCATTATATGATAACACAGTAATACAAAAAATCGGATGTGAGAAGGAAAAGGATATTAACGGATAGAAACGTCAAAATATATCTTCAGACCCACCACACAGTTTCTACATCTCTAAGTCCACACGGACACTTGCATAAATTACCGTGGCGATCATATTGAAATTAGGATTAGAAAAGTTGAGACCCAATCAAGGGATAAGTTATATAATTGCGTTATATTGTCTTGCACTTACGTCAACTATGTGTATGTACATTGGGGTTATTGTGTTGCAACAAGAAATGGGGGAACGACTAATATGAATGTGAAGAAATTAATCAACAGTCTGCTCCGACAATGTGCTTGTTGCATCACACTTCCCAAGGAGCGCCAACGCAAGAATGAAGTATGGGACTTGTGACAGCAAAACTCAATACAAAGAGTGGTCGTGATTAACAAAAGTTAAAATTAAAAAAAATAGCATGCATATATATGCATGTATGTAACTGTCACACTTATAAATAGGGCACTGAGGGATGGAAAATTACATTTCCCGTCATACACCGGGATCAAATTTCATCCTGTCCCAACTTCCGGTTGAGAATTGCTAGAGGCCCCACACCGCCTTGGAACCCGCTAGAACTGTTCCCGCCTCGCTGCGAGGTTTCCCATAACTGTTTTTGCATCATTGCCAAAGATATCTTGTTGGCCTGCAAGAAATCCCTCATTGATATCATTTCCCCCGAGTTACGTCTGTATTCTGAGTCACTATCCCCATCTGGGTCTGCCACAGTTACTGGAGGGGGCTTAGTTCCACGGTGTAGGTGTCCTGGGGTGATTGCATTACGACGGGTTCTAGTCGGTTTTCGGACTTGACACTGGCAGTTCAACCTGCGCAACAACCAGTTTAGAAACTGTTTTATCACAATCGAAGTCACATTGAATAAACTGTATATGCAACAACACCCAATCACAATGAAAATGAAGTTGCCTAAACGGTAGAAGTGGACATTCACGTAGTTGGCTTTTTGGCTTACTACATAATCACCGAATCCTATAGTAGCAAAGGTTACAAAACAGAAGTACATAGCCTCAAAATAAGACCAATCTTCCACGGGATAGTACATAGCCGAGGCACAACAGGCGACAATCCCCGCCCCCAACAGTAGAATAAGCATGACCCAGTAAACAGAAGGTTTCCATGAATCAAGATTTTCATCCTCGGATATCTGTGACGATCGTCGGTCTTTGGAGTCCCGTGAGTCGTTCATGAGACCTTTCCGTTTCAACTCACGCTCATGTATAGCTCGCAGTATGTAGGCTAGGAACGTGATGATTCTCTCCAGGAACAAATTGAAGAACAATATAGCTCCCGCACAACCGAAAAATCCGTAGAATATGAGCACGACCTTCCCGGGAACAGTCTGTGGGGTTGTCATCCCGAATCCTGCAACATACAAAACTATAGAGTCAGAGCATTCACGCTAACAAATGTGAGCATATCGAGACTGTTCGGCCTTTACGGAAAGTTACTGTATCGTGGCAACCCCGTCTGTTTCATTGAAGCCTTTAGTGATCCCTGCGGATGTTATGACCAAAAACTCTGTCTGATGTTTTTAACACGAGAATGTCGACAGGTAGCAACAATGACAGGTCGTCAACGTCTGCGGCTTGCGTTATTTCAGCTGCAACAATATATACTGTTAGGCCCTAATTCACTAAACATGTATCATCAGAGATAGTTTTTATAGAGTTTGTATCATCAGATAGACCTCATAGGGTTTGTATCATCAGAGATAGACCTCATAGGGTTTGTATCATCAGAGATAGATCTCATAGGATTTGTATCATCAGAGATAGACCTCATAGGGTTTGTTTAGTCAGAGATAGACCTCATAGGGTTTGTATCATCAGAGATAGACCTCATAGGGTTTGTATAGTCAGAGATAGACCTTATAGGGTTTGTGTCATCAGAGATAGACCTTATAGGGTTTGTGTCATCAGAGATAGACCTCATAGGGGCTGTATCATCAGAGAAAGACCTCATAGGGTTTGTATCATCACAGATATACCTTATAGGGGTTGTGTCATCAGAGATAGACATCAGGGAGTCTGTATCATCAAAGATCGACCTCAGGGAGTATGTATCATAAGAGATAGATCTTATGGGTCTGTATCATCAAAGAGAGACCTCAGGGGTCTGTATCATCAAAGATAGACCTTAGAGAGTCTGTATCATCAAAGATAGACCTCAGGGGTCTGTATCATCAAAGATAAACCCCAGGGAATCTGTATCATCAAAGATAGACCTCAGGGAGTCTGTATCATCAAAGATAGACCTCAGGGAGTCTGTATCATCAAAGATAGACCTAAGAGAGTATGTATCATCAAAGATAGACCTCAGGGAGTCTGTATCATCAAAGATAGACCTCAGGGAGTCTGTATCATCAAAGATAGACCTTAGGGAGTCTGTATCATCAAAGATAGTATTTAGGGAGTCTGTATCATCAAAGATAGACCTCAGGGAGTCTGTATCATCAAAGATAGACCTCAGGGAGTCTGTATCATCAAAGATAGACCTCAGGGAGTCTGTATCGTCAAAGATAGACCTCAGGGAGTCTGTATCATCAAAGATAGACCTCAGGGAGTCTGTATCATCAAAGATAGACCTCAGGGAGTCTGTATCATCAAAGATAGACCTTAGGGAGTCTGTATCATCGAAGATAGACCTTAGGGAGTCTGTATCATCAAAGATAGACCTTAGGGAGTCTGTATCATCAAAGATAGACCTTAGGGAGTCTGTATCGTCAGAGATAGACCCAAGGGAGTCTGTATCGTCAGAGATAGACCTCAGGGAATCTGTATCATTAAAGATAGACCCCAGGGAGTCTGTATCATCAAAGATAGACCTTAGGGAGTCTATATCATCAAAGATAGACCTTAGGGAGTCTGTACCCTCAAAGATAGACCTCAGGGAGTATGTATCATCAAAGATAGACCCCAGGGAGTCTTTATCATAAGAGACAGACCTTAGGGAGTCTGCATCATCAAAGATAGACCTTAGGGAGTCTGTATCATCGAAGATAGACCTTAGGGAGTCTGTATCATCAAAGATAGACCTCAGGGAGTCTGTATCATCAAAGATAGACCTCAGGGAGTCTGTATCATCAGAGATAGACCCAAGGGAGTCTGTATCGTCAAAGATAGACCTCAGGGAGTCTGTATCATCAAAGATAGACCTTAGGGAGTCTGTATCATCAAAGATAGACCTTAGGGAGTCTGTATCATCAAAGATAGTATTTAGGGAGTCTGTATCATCAAAGATAGACCTCAGGGAGTCTGTATCATAAGATACAGACCTTAGGGAGTCTGTATCATCAAAGATAGACCTTAGGGAGTCTGTATCATCAAAGATAGACCTTAGGGAGTCTGTATCGTCAAAGATAGACATCAGGTAGTCTGTATCATCAAAGATAAACCTCAGGGAGTATGTACCATCAAAGATAGACCTCAGGGAGTCTGTATCATAAGAGATAGACCCCAGGGGTCTGTATCATCAAAGATAGACCTTAGAGAGTCTGTATCATCAGAGATAGACCTCAGGGAGTATGTATCGTCAGAGATAGACCTCAGGGAGTCTGTATCATCAAAGATAGACCCCAGGGAGTCTGTATCGTCAAAGATAGACCTTAGAGAGTATGTATCGTCAGAGGTAGACTTTATAGGGCTTGTGTCGTCTTATATAAATTGTAGATCGTTCGTATCATCCGATTTAGACCGTATATGGTTTGTAACATCCGAAATAGACCTTATAGGGTTCGTGTCATGACGTAATGTTATGTTTGTATCATCTGACATAAGGGAGCAATTAGGGATATAATTCAGCGTAAGGGCGTTATCACTACAGAAACAGAGCGTTTTGATGTTATAAATATAGCTAGAACACAGTGTCGTGACGGTATCACTACTGATAGAACACAGTGTCGCGACGGTATCACTACAGCTAGAACACAGTGTCGTGACGCTATCACTACAGCTAGAACAGCGTTGTAACAGTATCACTACAGCTAGAACACAGTGTCGTGACGCTATCACTACAGCTAGAACAGCGTTGTAACAGTATCACTACAGCTATAACAGCGTTGTAACAGTATCACTACAGCTAGAACACAGTGTCGTGACGCTATCACTACAGCTAGAACAGCGTTGTAACAGTATCACTACAGCTAGAACACAGTGTCGTGACGGTATCACTACAGCTAGAACAGCGTTGTAACAGTATCGCTACAGCTAGAACACAGTGTCGTGACGGTATCACTACTGATAGAACACAGTGTCGCGACGGTATCACTACAGCTAGAACACAGTGTCGTGACGCTATCACTACAGCTAGAACAGCGTTGTAACAGTATCACTACAGCTAGAACACAGTGTCGTGACGCTATCACTACAGCTAGAACAGCGTTGTAACAGTATCACTACAGCTAGAACACAGTGTCGTGACGCTATCACTACAGCTAGAACAGCGTTGTAAAAGTATCACTACAGCTAGAACACAGTGTCGTGACGGTATCACTACAGCTAGAACAGCGTTGTAACAGTATCACTACAGCTAGAACACAGTGTCGTGACGCTATCACTACAGCTAGAACAGCGTTGTAACAGTACCACTACAGCTAGAACACAGTGTCGTGACGCTATCACTACAGCTAGAACAGCGTTGTAACAGTATCGCTACAGCTAGAACACAGTGTCGCGACGGTATCACTACAGCTAGAACACAGTGTCGTGACGCTATCACTACAGCTAGAACAGCGTTGTAACAGTATCACTACAGCTAGAACACAGTGTCGTGACGCTATCACTACAGCTAGAACATATATAGTGTCGTGACGCTATCACTACAGCTAGAACATAGTGTCGTGACGCTATCACTACAGCTAGAACACAGTGTCGTGACGGTATCACTACAGCTAGAACAGCGTTGTAACAGTATCACTACAGCTAGAACACAGTGTCGTGACGCTATCACTACAGCTAGAACAGCGTTGTAACAGTATCACTACAGCTAGAACACAGTGTCATGACGGTATCACTACAGCTAGAACAGCGTTGTAACAGTATCACTACAGCTAGAACACAGTGTCGTGACAGTATCACTACAGCTAGAACAGCGTTGTAACAGTATCGCTACAGCTAGAACACAGTGTCGTGACGGTATCACTACAGCTAGAACACAGTGTCGTGATGGTATCAGTAGAGATAGAAGACAGCGTTGTGACGGTATCAGTAGAGATAGAAGACAGCGTTGTGACAGTATCACTTGGTTTTGTTGGTTTGTTGTTTAACGCCGCACTCAGCAATATTCCAGCTATATGACGGCGGTCAGTAAATAATCGAGTCTGTACCAGACAATCCAGTGATTAATAACATGAGCAGCGATCCACACAATTGGGATCGATGACATGCATCAACCAAGTCATCGAGCCTGACCACCCGATCCCGTTTGTCGCCTCTTACGCCTTTTAGAGCAAGCATGGTTTGCTGAAGACCTATTCTACCCCGGATCTTCACGGGTGGGCACCAATACATGCCAGTAGCCATGGTGGTATCAGTAGAGATAGAACACAGTGTCGTGCCGGTATCAGTAGAGATAGAACACAGCGATGTGACGGTATCAGTAGAGATAGATTGTGAGTATTTCGATCTACGTTAAAGTCATCTGTATTATGAAAGAGCTTCGTCCGAGTAACTCCACGGTAATGCAATCAGAAAGCAAGTAGAAGGCAATCACGACCCTCGCTCTACAGAAGAACCGCAGCGCAAAGTGACAGGGACATGTGGTCAGAACGTGCGCCGCGTTACAGAAGGCATATAAGCTTCAGGGGGAGACGGCTTCTAATGGGTATTGATTGACTACAACGGGTTTCATGCTCGGTTAATTAATCCCCCGATCTGTGTATAAAGTCGTGTTGACAGCTCATGATAACGCGATATCTGACCGGGTTCCCAGGGGAGGCTGTTTTGGAAATACATCACGCCGTTGGACGAGCAAATCACTCTTTTATGTCAGTTTCTAATCTTCATTTACACCCCATTCATGTAAATTGAAACTTAAAACGCACGTTCATTCTTTTCGACGCAAGCAGGAGGATCATCTGTATTGTGAATGATATATCTATGGAAACCCTCCCCCGAGACATGCGCAGTGTGCCTTACGTGTCAAGCGACTGACCGAGTCTCGCATGTGCCGGAATGTAGGGTTGGGACGGGTACCTCGGGTCCCCGGGTCGGGTGGGTACTGAGCAGGACTCGGGTATCCACAGGGCTACCCGGACCCGTGGTTAGTCACGTGATATATTGTTAAATGATAAAAATTATCTAGAACTCTATGGTTACACTACAAATCATTAATGTTCGCATTTCTTTCTGACAATGCACCCATTC